AAGTTCAAAGATAGTTGACAGAGTTGCCCTGTTGAATTAATGTAGCCACTAACTTATATTGCATTAGTCACTTTGCAAATGCTAACCTGTTGAATATGTTGCTCTAAATCCTTTTCGTTGAAGTGACGCATCTGTCCACAGTACCATAAACATTTCATTTGTAGATGCCACCACCGCATAAGGTTCATGCCCACCACAGTAGATGCCCAAAGTTGAGCTGTTTTCTGTTTTACCATCGTATAATGCGACATAATCGTAAAAACACTCCTATACACACACAAATACAAAACAGAAAAGATAAATGTTAGTGTGTTTTAAGTTGAATGAGTTAAGTGTCAGATGTATTGCAAATTGATTGCGTCATTTTTGCGCCAAATTCACGCACCTGATGATTTTCCATTTCGAAATCGTGAAATGTCAACTGCACACGATGACCGAGTACAGTGCGGAAGTGCCAAAAACAATAGGTATTTCGAGGATAATCGTTCGGGTAATTAGGACTGTAGATGCTCCCCTTTGGACTTGTAATTTCGAATTTACATTTGGTTTCGGTGCAGTTGTGTCGATTCTCGTCAATAGTGTAACCATTGCGACAGCTACACTTATACGAGCCGAAAGTGTTGAGGCAGTGATGTTGGCAACCTCCATTGTTTATGCTGCACTCATCCAAATCTGTGTAATAAAATAGTGGAATAATGATGAGAAGTTATAAACGTTTCGCTTCTTAAGAAATAAGTATGCCATTTGTCACGGGAAAAACATATTTTAGAAAAAAATGTTTCTTAATTTTTTGTTGTACTATATATTAACTCAAGTTAACTTAAATACATATGCATTTCGCTATACAAAAGAAAAAAAGAAGGTGATTAAGTCCCGATTAATAACAATTATTCTTAGAGTGTGGCAGCGTTTTTAAGTCATCAAGTTATCAATACTAGCCCTGGGATTCAGTAATTCAGTCTCATCTCAAGTCACTAAATTTGAGATTAGCAATTAGTGACTATTTTTGTGACTTGAGGTGATTTGGCTATTCAGTAGGAGAGAGTCACAAAAAGTTCACCAAAAATGTGTGGTGAAAACAAACACAGACAGTCAACTGATAGCGTTTATGTATGCCTTTTGCCGCGCCGCCTGAAAGAGGGCCAATGGCCGAGTGGTCAAAGCATTAAGCTGCCGGTCGAGAGGGTCCGGGTTCGAGTACTCCTCGGGCGTAAAGGACTTTATAAATCTTTTTATTTAGTATTTTTTCATTAGTTTTATTTTTTAATAATCTTTAGATTTTAATGTTTTATATATATTTTTTTTTTGTATTTTTTCATTAGTTTTATTTTTTTAATAATCTTTAGATTTTAATGTTAAAAAAAATTAATTTTTTTTTCAAACGATTTGTATGATGAAGCATTTGGTTTATTTCCTAACGAAATTCTTATTGAACAAATTTCCTCGCTTCATATTCGCGTTTTTTTTAGTAAAATGGAAAGCAATTAACTTTTTCTCCATAATTTTATTTTTGAGGCCTGCTCTTAGCCAGCTGACAAATTAGTGACTTTTTTTGAGACTAGAGATGTGAGACAGCGTGCTGAACACCAAATAGTCTCAAGATCCAAGTTCACCACCACTGACTGAATGCCAGGGTAGATCTTAGCAAGCGCGGCAGTGGCTTTCACCTACGTATGTATGTATACGTAAATTCATAAAACTTTTTTTTTTTTTAATATTGGTATTAATTGAGCTACCGGCCAAAAATTCTAAAGCTTGTTGGTTGATTAATGCAATAAACACATTTTAAGATCTGAACCAAATTTTAACGATTCTTCAATGGGGGATCAGTATTAGAAGGCGTTTGTTATATGTATGTATCTTAAAAATTGAGCGCCAAATTCTGATGATTAAATTCAACTCGGCCAAACACTAGCATACATACGCGTAAGCGCCAATCTTTTATTATTATTATTATTATTGTTAAATTGAACTTACCGATAAGAATCTTTGCCGAAAATCCTGTGTGTTGTATGGACTTGTCTGAAAAAAACTCCAAACGTAATATATTATGTTCGGACTTCAGAACGGGGGGCAACTCTCGTCCACAATAAATGCCGATTTTCTTCAAACGACTATCGCGCAACTTGGAATAAGCCAACAGGTAATCATAATTGCACTCAGTGTATTGATATTTTGTTCCTTCCAAATCGAAGTGTGTGAAATTGAGGAAAACTGCATGACTGGGCGGCGCAACAATCTCCCACACACACTCTTTCGATATGGGATACATATCCGGATATGACGGCGAATTGAGAGTGCCGTTGGGAGTAGAGGCATTGATAATACCGCCGCACGCATCTGTAAAATAACGGTAATATTTGTTAATATCAGACAATAAACAATAATTAAGTATGTAAACATATGTATGTATGTATTTATGTTCGCTGTTTAAGCTCGTACACATTGGATACCATGCACGCACACTATTTACATACATATAAACATTAGGGTATCCCGAGAAATTTTGTTCTAGCGAAATTCGATGTACATTTCCTATATTTCCGTTTGGTCAAAATAGCGTGCAAATTTATGTATAAAGTTTTATTGACGTGGGATGATGGAAATCCGGGCCGATTTGAAATTAAAGTTTTGGAGAAGATTTTGTTTTGAAATTGCTATACTATTTCCAGAGCTTAATCGCAGTGAATGCAAAACGTATCCGTTTCACATACCGTTGTCTGTACATACGTTTCTGCCTCACACTTAAGTGGGAAAAGCGATCGTCAAAGTACCCGAAAATGGAATCAGTAAACGGGGGGAAATCCGCACTTCATCCACGTTCTTGTCTTTTTTCGGATCGGTTTTCGGATTTTTTGCTGGCTGGGTTGTCAATGTTAGGCTTAGGGAGTCTACCAGGTTGCATCTAATTTCGGAATAGTTGAGGTTAAACATAGAGGCTTTGACAATCAGATAAAGGAGATCAAAATTAGCAAACTAGTCACAACTTCAAAGTTCCCCACGTAATACCCACCCGCATTTGACGCAACGACAAAGAAGACGTTATTGATTCAAAACTCGGTTTTGCTATATACATACATAGAGTTGAGCTGCGTTCAAAATACTCAGGTCGGTAACAACTATGTAACTGGATATTATTTTAGTAATTTAAAAATTCTATCAAACTATTAAAGCATAGAGTTGCTTTGAGATATGAGAAAGCGGATAAGTGCGCCAGAAAGTTTCCTTTTCTAAGACTTTGGGAATAGAAATCAGGCATACGACCCTCTCTAAAATTCCTGCCCTTATATGTTGAAGAAAAATACAACTTTTTACGAGAATATGTAGGGAGAGAGAATATGTAGAATATGTAGAGAGGACATCAACGACTAAATTACCATTTGTATGAAAAAATCATAAATGACTTCCATGTAAATTGAGCCCAAAGTCATTGAAGACTTAACGTCGCCGTACAAAATACTCATATGCATGACATTCGCAATATTATATGTCTGGGTGTAGCTGAGTACGCAAAGATACTGGCCACAATTTGTTGATATCCAGAGATGGTCAGGGTTCGAATTCCACTGCAGACAACATGCAAATTAAATATTTTTATTTTTTTTATTTCTTGTCTTGATTATTCACTTCACGGATGCTTTTTTAGAACGAAGGCGGTGATTTTAATATGCGCGTAATTGAATAGAATATTTACCAATATACAGTACTTTCGTTGACGTTTATAGTAAGATCAATTACGTTTCTATTTGAGTTTAATATTTTTTCCCCTCTGTGTAGCGAAACACTGACCACTATAACGATTTCTGTGGAGGTTGTAAATATAAGAAAGAAGTAGAATCCGTTAAGCACTTCCAGTCTTGCACTATGAAGATAGCGCTTAAGATTACTGGCGGCTTCAAGAAGCTGGGCAGCCACTCACTGGATAAATTTTCTGAATTTGTCAAAAGATCGAGATGCTTAAGGTACATGTAGGTATATGTTTTTGAAGAAAGGTTTTCCTAACCCACTCCAGAAAAAACGATATCGCAGATTTGCTGCGGTCGGACCATAGCAGAATTCCACATATGAAAGGGTGTAGTAATCGCAGTACAACTTAACCGAAACCTGAAGTCGGCACGAGTGATTGTCATGCTGTCGCAATATACATGAGGGGTATTCTCGGAGTCTTGCAAAGCTCTTGCACGGTGAACGGATTACACGGATTGTATGGTAAAAACCAATGCACCGTACAAGGTCTTTTCAAGACTTTGAGAAACCCCTATGTTTTATACGAAAAGGAAAAAATATAGTGCAAAAATATATATTGTAAAACTCTATTTTATTATCTGGGACACTCTATTACACATTCTGTTCATTAGGGTCATAGTTAAAAATATGAATGTCTAAATTGTGTAGGGGGCACGCATTTATTTTGTTCTACGTACA